GGGATGTAGAGAGCGAAAGTGATTGTGACCTCTGGAATATCGAGGATGGGTCCAGGGATGTAGAGAGCGAAAGTGATTGTTACCCTTGGAGTATCGAGGATGCATCCAAAGTGCAGAGACCGAAAGTGATCGTGACCTCTGGAAAATCGAGGATGGGTCCAGGGATACAGAGAGCGAAAGTGATCGTAACCATGGAGTATTGAGGATGGGTCCAGCGGTGCAGAGAACGAAAGTGATCGTAACCTCTGGAATATCGAGGATGAATCCAAAGTGCAGAGAGCGAAAGTGATCGTGACCTCTGGAATATCGAGGATGGGTCCAGGGATGTAGAGAGCGAAAGTGATTGTGACCTCTGGAATATCGAGGATGGGTCCAGGGATGTAGAGAGCGAAAGTGATTGTGACCTCTGGAATATCGAGGATGGGTCCAGGGATACAGAGAGCGAAAGTGACCGTTACCCCTGGAGTATCGAGGATGGGTCCAGGGGAACAGAGAGCGAAAGTGATTGTTACCCCTGGAGTACCGAGGATGAAACCAAAGTGCAGAGACCGAAAGTGATCGTGACCTCTGGAATATCGAGGATGGGTCCAGGGATGTAGAGAGCGAAAGTGATTGTGACCTCTGGAATATCGAGGATGGGTCCAGGGATGTAGAGAGCGAAAGTGATTGTTACCCTTGGAGTATCGAGGATGCATCCAAAGTGCAGAGACCGAAAGTGATCGTGACCTCTGGAAAATCGAGGATGGGTCCAGGGATACAGAGAGCGAAAGTGATCGTAACCATGGAGTATTGAGGATGGGTCCAGCGGTGCAGAGAACGAAAGTGATCGTAACCTCTGGAATATCGAGGATGAATCCAAAGTGCAGAGAGCGAAAGTGATCGTGACCTCTGGAATATCGAGGATGGGTCCAGGGATGTAGAGAGCGAAAGTGATTGTGACCTCTGGAATATCGAGGATGGGTCCAGGGATGTAGAGAGCGAAAGTGATTGTGACCTCTGGAATATCGAGGATGGGTCCAGGGATGTAGAGAGCGAAAGTGATTGTAACCCTGGAGTATCGAGGATAGGTCCAGGGGTGCAGAGAGCGAAAGTGATCGTAACCCCTGATGTATCGAGGATGGTTCCAGGGGTGCAGAGATCGAAAGTGATCGTTACCATGAAGTATCGAGGATGGGTCCAGGGATGCAAAGAGCGAAAGTGATCGTAACCTCTGGAATATCGAGGATGGGTCCAGGGATGCAGAGAGCGAAAGTGATTGTAACCTCTGGAATATCGAGGATGAATCCAAAGTGCAGAGAGCGAAAGTGATCGTTACCTCTTGAATATCGAGGATGGGTCCAGGGATGTAGAGAGCGAAAGTGATTGTAACCTCTGAGGTATCGAGAATACTTTTGGTAGTGTTATCGGATGATCCACCAACTGGTAAATCCATCCATTCAACTATGAATCATTGGGTGTCATTATTTCAGTACGTAGTAATTGTATTTAGATGTCTGCATAGATCGGACAAATTACGAAAACGACACCGGAAATGGCTGTCTCAAAATTAGTTATTCCTATTTTCATATCCTATTCAAATACCGAAAAATTCTCTTTAGCTTTAAAGCATCAATCTCATGAACCTGAGGGCAAGACTAAAGTCGACACTTACTTCATTCAAGTCCGGTTACAAAATATTTTTCGAAGTCAAGAAAGATCAGTACAAAGACAATTTTAACAGTATACCCCAGAATGAAATAAATATGATACTATATTCAATCTAGTTGAGTATTGCTTCATACAAATTAAAGTTTGTTGTTGGAGACATCGGAACATCTGTACACAATAAATATACATATATATGCAATACAAGAGAGAGTTTTAATGAAGAGAAACTGACATTATTTACAAGTTTGACGAAAACTGCACGTCAAATCGAAATTGTGTAGAGGTAATTCATCAATCCGTTCATATATTGTACTCGATACAGCGGTTTCCCTTTTATATCACACCTTTGAGTCGGAGATTAACTGTTAACTTTGGTTGGTAGCCTCTAGCGAGCTGTTGTGCAAAAATATCACAAATAATCACAAAGAATAGATACAGATAGAATATTTCCATGATGAAATATCATAGAAACGATATTTTAATGTCCTCTTGGAATCTATCATGGTTCTTATCCATGGTCTGACTTGTGCATCAGAATATAAAACGCGTGTTTTTGACGCCATCCGATAGTCATCATCATCAGATGTCAAAATGGGGAAATATTAACTCGAGTTAAATGGCAGCAGTGAGTTAATGTATAAAATACCGCTGCCGCTCAAGTTAGGATTTCATGGGTGATTTATTAGAAAATTGTACAAAATCATCTGCCTATGTTTTTTTTCGTACACCTCAAATTATTTTGCGGAAATTATTTATAGATCTAGTTAGATCAATTTACAAACTTTCACGCGGTCCTAATTGCGTCATAATTAAATTGCATTATTTAAATCCGAATACAATGAAATGTTTATATAAACCATAAAATCTACAGAAAAATAAGTCTAATGACGTAATAAAATTGTAACCCCAGTTGGAAATTTTGTGATCAGTATACACACTAGTGTATTTACCCAATATTCTACATAAATCTATGATCCAGTGACTTTTCAGTTCCGGATATATTCCACTGTGTATGTATTAAGGCGGTTTGGATGGGAATTTTCCTACCAATTTCTCCTGCCCAAACTGATCAACAATAAATTTATAAATCATTAAAATGAGTTCGGAATAAATTCACAACATCAGGAAATTTTACAACTTGGGTGGTATATCCCTTTAATATAAAAACGTATGAGATAATATGTTAAAATGGGTAAAAAAATATTGAAATGTAAGTGGAATGTTTAGAGAGGCAGAACAGAGAAATAATTCTTTTATTTTTTGTAAGCTATTAGCATTGATCTTTCTGCGGTGTCCGACGTTGTGAATGTAGTATGTGTTTCCAAGCTCACAAGATTGATCTCCCTTTACATTGCATTATCACAAACATAGAATTAAAACGCAGACAGTTTTCATTCTACAAAGAATTAAGATGAATTGTGAATTCCCATAATATTTCATTCTTTATCGATGTACTAGTATTAAGTTTCGCATTGAAAACTAAGGAAATAGTAATTAAAAAAAAACAAAACAAAAAAGAAAAAAAAAGAAAAAATACCACGAGTATGCAGGCTTACCAACAACTAGGTAGAAAAGTGATTCTGTCACCTAATCCTATTAACATAAGTTTTGACTAATTGATTCATTCGATTTTCGTTTATAACAAGTCATAACTTGTAACAGAATCTATTATTATTTTAAATTGAAGACGATTTTCCACCGTCGATATCAGGGATACTTCATTAAAAAACAAATCTACACGTAGTTTTTTGTTCGCCTGGCCCAAAGTTCCGTCCGTCAGTCAACGTTTGCTACAAATCGCTACCAGTCATGAACGGCTGATTGAATTTTAACCAAATTGAGGAAAGAGAAACACATTTCGTATAAACGGTTGGCAGGACTTGGCCTTCTGAAGTGGGAGGGGCGAGACCCAATATGGAAATAGTGCAAATCCTTTAACATCCCACTTTTATGGTAGAAATGATTGAATTTTATCCAAATTTGGTCCGAATCATTCTTGCCTGAATGAAAATCGACAGTTAGTCGAGGCCCCTATAGGTGGAGATGCGGAACGGAGCCTAATACGGGAAATAGCGCAAATCCTTTAACATCCTACTCCTCTAGTAAAAGTAATTTGATTTACCCTAAATTTGGTCCGAATCCTTCTTGTTCGCGTGGAAATCAGTATTGTGGAATCGGTTGGTCTGGCCCTTTAGGTAGAAAGGGGCTGGGCCCACTAGGGGGAAGTAGAGTATTTTTTTTAAAATCCTACTTCTCTTGTAGGAATGATTGGATTCTGCCCAAATTTTGTCAGAGGCATTCGCGGGGAAAGGGATTAAAAAAAAAACACCTCGGTCCCAGGAGTGGAAGGGGCGGAGATATATAAGGTAAAGATAAAGTCCTTTAGATACTTTTCCTTAAGTTTGAATTTCAGCAAATGAAACCAGCGATACAGGCCGTACCGGCATTTCGTGTTATGATTTTGTACCTTATTTTACTTTGATTTTTTTTTTAAATCTGCGATTTCACTACTTTATGCAATTTTCTTAGATCATCCTTGGAAACCTTTCTTATTTTTTATCCTTTTTTTTTACATGAATACTTCGTGAGAAAATCAAAGAAATTGATTAGTATAATGTTTTTGTACGCTTTTAAATTTAAAAAAGAGATTTATTAACTTCAGTTTGTTAATCAATTCCGAAATGATTCTTATTACATATTCTTAATGAAACAAGTTCATTCCACTGCTACCGGAAGCGGAAGTACTATGAAACTATCATCCATGTCCATGTAAAATCACAGTTATGAATTCGGGCCACACAACCTAGCAATGATATAGGACTGGATTGTCTGCCTTAAAACAATTTTCTCCGCCAGACGGCGCTTATTGACGGTAAACTTAGAATGAAATGACTGAAACAATTATCATGATTGTTTGTTAAGTTTATCTATAAATGATCTTAGATTTTCTTGTGTTTTTAATTCCACATGAATGATTGAAATGATTTTTTCTTTAAGAAATAGATAAGTTCACAGTCCATAGTACGATAACACATCGACCCTCCATCACTGATCACATGTGAAAAGATGTAGGCAATTTGTTGATTTTTATTGATTTTTTTTTGTAACCACTTAAAATTTTAATCCATAATACTATACAGCGTTCAGTGTTATTCTACATAGTTTCTTTATAAAATATTTTCTCAACTTCTCAACAGTAAGGCAGAGTGAACGTTATGGAACCTAGTAAATACAGGAGGTCAAGCTATCAATTTGCCTCAAGAGGACATGACGCCGATCTTTTCCACCTGGAATGTTTTTGTATCGCCATGTCCACTATCTAAATCATATGACTATGAAAAAGGGATGAAACTTCATAAATATAATATTCTGTAAGCAAACACGGCGAATATCAGCAACCATTGTCGTGGATCGGATTTGTCGCCCCCTGAGTGTGCCATCAGTCTTACCGGACACACTTGTCCGGCTTTATTGTTGCCTAGCGACCGAATACTATCAGAGAAATTCTCCATCCAGAATAGATCTACATTAGCAATGACGGTGGCTCTGTGAACAGAAAAATCACTCATTTTAAAATTTATAGATTCAGTGCTGGGTATATTACTTAAATACAAATAAAATCAGTGTGTATCAACTCAGACTCTTGAGTATTTGACGAATACATGAACTTCAAACCAGTCGATCTTTTTATATAAAAGTGCAAAAATAAAATTGAAATTTGGATCATCCTTTGTAATTTTATTAAATGAGAAACACTTTTTTTATATTTTTAATTATTAGTTAATTAATAATCTGTTCTTATCTCAAAGCTAAACAATTGTAGATCAAATTGAAGTATGCATCTTTCTTTCGAAATACTTTAACCCAGCTCATGATGAACTTATAATGTTCACCCAACGCCTCATTTTGTAAATGAATTGTTTCCCGGACTTCCGTTTGTTTTGTTTAGACATATTCTCTATAAAGTGCTATACTTACCTAAAGAATAGTTTCCTGGTTTCGTTTTTTGGTTTGTACCACCTTACAACAACATTTTCCTTATTCAGGTTCCATTTACGACTGACAACAGCGCTCTGAAACACACAGGGTTCGTTAGATAGATGTAACACAGGATGTTTAGTTCCCGGATGTCATCTACTGCAGAATTTAAGAAAATTGACTTCCAGTTTGAGCATCAGGATATCCCAGGCCCTGATTCATAGTGAGAAGTTACAAAATGTATTACAAATTGGGAACAAAATGTAAATTAATACCATAATATCCAATATGTGTATGTTAGGTGTCTATTGTATCAACAATGTAGGAAAATTCAACGTTTTCATGTAACAGTACGTTCTGTCGTCATACCAGTTCCTCAAAATGTAATGCCGGGGGAAACTTAAGCTTCCACTGCAAAGCTCTGCAAAAAAGAATAAAATCAAATCGACTGAGTTATTTTTGTTAAAGCAGTGTTAGCAACTCACATCATGTCTTCCTGCGCAGTGGACGAGTTCAACGTCATCGTGGCCAAATTCCTTCTCAAAATAGCCGATAGGGACATCGCGGTCAGTAGCCGAGCAGTCCGCCACACGTGCTTGTAAGAAGAAGGCGTTGATTTTATACTTACCCGTCGATTTTAGGGTCACTGAAGTGGAAAAAAATATTAAGAAACATCTACTAGGCGAATTGTCAAAAACCGAAAAATCAATTAGAACTTTCACCTTTATATAAAGATGTAGAATTAGATAAAATTGTTGCCAAATAATTCATTCAGTTGTGTAATAGGGCTGTTTCGTCCTTGTAGGACTTGTCAGTGATGCTTGTTGCCAGAAGTATTGAAACCTGGTAGGTGATTGGGAAAAACTAGATGTGGTCGAAATGAAAACCAATGAATGCTATTGAATTATTAAAATGTATGAATGGAATTCACAGCACAAAACTAAATAAAGACACACATTTACTACAAAATCACTCACATGCAACCCATATTCATCTTACGCGAATTGAACGCTAATTAACAAAATAGTATGATATAACAAAGCCTTTCGTATTTTATGGACACTTCTAAATTAGAGAAGGATGAAGACATTTTTTGGTATTATCCCTTAATTCCATTTTTTTTTCTTCATCTTTAAAAAAGTTAATTGGATTGATACATTTCATGTATACTATTGTACATTTTTGTAATATAAAGGAGAAATGAAAACACCATCCCATATTTCATTGGTTACCTCCCTTGCTCCACACTCGCCCATGATTGACATCCCGACGGTTAAAATCGTCAGCCTTGTTGGAGATATTGTCTGGTTGATGGACTTATATTGTAATTATAAACTGTCTGTACCTACCCTGCTCGTGTGAAACACCATCGTAAATGGTGTCTGATGTCTGGATCTCGTATGGCGGTTTCGATAGCTGTGAATGTACACCTAATGCCTCCGGGAACATGTCTTGGCATTCTTGTTTATTTCAATAATACCTCACCACCATATAGACAATAGCGTATTTCCACCGGCAGCCCATAATTTACATAACAAAGAAAATAAATATCCCGTGAGAGGACCCTTAATGCTTGGTACGAACGCACCGCGCATGACCCAAAACCTCACTTCCGCTTATGGCAGCCATCACCGACTGAGGAGCGACATTTCTTCTACGGTTTTCAGGCATTTCTTAGTGTTTTACGTGTTATTTGTGTTGTACAGTATCTGTATTTGGTTCTTACATTTATTGTTGACAGGTCTTTCTTCGTGGTTTGTGTTGTCAGTCCCTGTTTTTGCCGTTTTCGGCCTTTCTGTGTTGGTTGGTTACCGCACACGTGGACTGTTTTACGCTACGATACCGCTGTGTAGAAGGCCCTCTCGGTGTCTCCTACTGTTTGTTTTGTTACCATTTACTTCTGTCAACTATTCGGTTTTTTCACTCGATATTTCTTTTTCTCGTGCGTTGCTGGTCGCTGCCCGCCGAGCAGTATGACAGGTAAGAAGGGGCAGAGTGCTTCTAAAACTCGTCAGGGAGATTGCGGCCATGTCATCCTCGATGGGGATGACCATGACCTCTGTCTTTCCTGTCGAGACTGCTCCCGGGATAGACCTTGTTCCGTGTGTTTGGCTTGGCCACACACTTTGTGGGACAAGGTACTATCCCATAAGTCTGTCACCCGAAAAAAGGGTATTAAGGCTGGGGCAGACAGTAAGCGTCCAAAAGCACAGAGTGGAGCTGTAGTCAGCCTTCCACCTGGCAGTGAGGCCATTTTACCCCCGGAGGGGGAAGTAATTTTGCTTCCTAGTGGTAGGTCCTCTTTGGCTACAGAGGAGCCTACTCACGATCATATTTCTGGGACGGTAGGGTCCTTAGGGTTTCCTATCGTGCTCCAGAAGGGCACTCACCCGGGAATTTCCGTGGAGGTCGAAGGGAGCGAGTGTCCGGGTACCATTTCCGTTAGCGGAATGGCTACCGAACAGGCCAGTCATGCGACCCGGGCCCCATTGAGGGGTGCCGGTGTACCCACTGACAGTTGGCCGGCTGGCAATGCCAGTTATGACGGTGTTACTGGAGAGGCTGCACTGGGAGCAGGGAGTGACTCGGTTTCACTTCCTGGTGTTGGGGTTGACTACCCACTATCTGGGTTTGGGTCCAGGGTATTGCACCCTTCGGTTCCTCAGTCTTCCTTACCTCGATCTGGTCCTCCACCAGTTCGAGCTCCTGGCTCAGTGGGGTTCTTGGGAGCGCCTGTGCACCCCCCACCTTACCCCTTTCCTCAGTCTGCACCCAGGTTTGGTGGTTATATGCAGTCTCCTGACAGTGTTGGCCATTATCGGCCATACTTGACAGGCATGTCTCCAGTAGGGAGCAGTTCATTTCCCGGTCCTGTGGGTTCCGGTATGTTGCCTCCCCCCAGTATTCTGGCTATGGCCAATGCTGGGGCCCTTCCCAGCCTTTGGGATTTCCATACTCTGGGTATGGTCAGACCCCTTTTGGTTACCCAGGCCAACCTTGGGGTACCTCAGCCTTCTGTCACCAGCCTGGTGTTGAGTCGGGTCCCCCCCCTTCTCGCTCTCGCCAACACAAATCTAAGAGGCTTAACCGTCCCTCAAAGATTTCGGCTGACACCCATAAGACCTCGCTTTCCCATAGGTCTAAGCGTAAGGTCAACTTTGCTAATCTTAGTGCTGGCCTTTCTTCTACCTCTAAGGTTAGAAGATTGGAGACTCCGGACCAGTCTGTGACTAGGTCTGTCTCCAGTTTAGGCCAGTGCCCTCAGTCTGATCATGATGAGTCTGAGGACATGGATTGTGAGGAGTCAGAGGCTGAGGTTGTGGGTCAGCAGGCCTTACCTGATGATGGGGACACTCTGTCACTGGATGCTGGGTCTGATGTTGAATCGGAGACCCGCTCTTGGCTCCCAGCAGTCCAAGTTGAGGGTTCCTGTCAGGAGTCTTCAGACTCCGAGGTGGACTCTCCTGGCACCGAGTCAGTCCTTGCAGTCTCCCAGGCTGAAAGGAATCTGGATTCCTTCCGCAGCCTGCGTTTGGAGGTTGCGTCACTCCTCGGCGTGGAGTTTTGCCCTCCTCCCTCGGCTTCGGGTCTTCCAGAGAGGACTTCTACTTTAAGTGCCTTTCTTCCCTCAGAGCCTGAGGTTAGGGCATCAGGTAGGTCATTGGCGGAGGGTACTATGGTTTCCTCAGCATTGGCCCAGATTCAGAAGGTTCTTCAAGCCAAAGGTTCTGCTAATAGGAAGCAGGATCTTTCCGGTTTGCTTTTGGGGGTGAATGATATTGAGGGGTTCAATCCTTCTCGATATGCAGTTCACGACCCCTCAATAGAATCTAATCCAGCTAAGGTGGACCTTCTTTTGGACCACTGCTGGCCTGGAAGATCAAATGACATGATTCATTTGTCTCCCAAAGAGCATAGTCGAATAGAAAGACTGCTTCGCCTTGCCATTCACGTGCTGGCTTATGCAGATTCTTTTTCCTCTGCTTTGTTTGTAGCTTCTTCTCGTTCGGAGGAGAGCCTACCTGACAAGACTAAGCTCTTGGCTGAACTCAGCAAGGCTATGAACCGGGCCCACATGGATGGGACTGCGCTCATTCTGGCAGTTTTGACTGATTTCATTCTGGCTCGTCGTGCTTCAGTCTTGAAGCCAAGACTAACTATTGGAGAGCCTTTTATATCGGATCTCATGACTGCTCCCCTGTCAGGCTCTGAAATGTTTGGAGGGGTTCTCTCCTCTGTCATGGACAGAGTCAACAATGACAAGTCAGCTTCAGCTCGGTTGGAGAAACTTAGGGCTAAGCCTAAGCCTGGACGGGTGCAGCGCCCAGGCAAGCCTAAGAAGGGCCCTAAGACGGCTCAGCCTCAGGCTCAGTCGTCTGTTACCTCGACTTCTCGAGGGGGGCACTCTTCTCGGGGACGGGGTGGTCGGGGTCACAAGGGAGGAAGGGGAGGCAAGCAGAATGCAGGTAAGAAGGGGCAGAGTTCCTGACTCTTTCAGTCCCTCGGTTCCACCCTGCCCCTTGTCCTGTCGTATGGACGATCCATGGGAAGGTCTCGAGCTCCCAAGGCCAGATCTTCCCGTTGGGGGTCGCCTTTCTCATTTTCTGCCCGATTGGCAGCAGCTTACCGAGGACAAGTGGGCAATTTCGGTGGTGTCCGAGGGTCTGGGTATCCCCCTTCTGAAGGATCCCCCTCTATCGGCAGATCCTGTTTTCTTTCCCCCTCCCGGCGATGCAGGAAAGGCTCAGGCCCTCCTAGACGAGGTCGACTGCATGTTGGCAAAGGGTGCCATAGAGGAGCTCCCGAGGTCTCTCTGGACACCAGGCTTTTACTCCCGTATGTTTCTTGTCAAGAAGAAATCCGGGGCCTGGCGTCCAATCATAGACCTCAGTGCCTTCAACAAGTATGTGGACTCTCCACATTTCAAAATGGAGACTCCTCGAGGCATTCTGGCGTCAGTTGCACCAGGCATGTGGGCAACCTCTATAGACCTCAAGGACGCTTATTTCCACATTCCGATAAAGAAATCGGCCAGGAAATTCCTGAGATTTACATCCCAGGGCAGAGTGTTCCAGTTCAGGGCCATGCCCTTTGGTCTTACCACAGCCCCCTTGGTCTTTACCAAGCTGCTTCAGGTGGTTGTGGGCTATTTACACAGTCGCGGAGTAGATATCCATATTTATTTCGACGACTCCCTGATGCTGCATCTAGATCCAGAGTCTTTGAGTCGCAGCACCAGGTCAGTCTTGACTACCCTTCTTCGCCTGGGCTTTATCCCTTCTCGAGAGAAATCCGAGGTTTTCCCCTCACAGGACTTTGTGTTTCTGGGAAACCGTTTCCTTACGGATCTCGGCCTCGTTCTTCCACCTCCGTCCAAGTTCCAGAAAGCCAAGGAATTGGTTCTTCTGCTCAACAGTTTGGACTCTATTCAGGTCAGGTGGTTTCTGAGGCTTCTCGGATTTCTCAACTCCCTTTCGGATGTTGTCCCTCTGGGTCGGCTCCATATTCGACCTCTTCAGATGTACCTACTGTCCAAATGGAAACCGGCCTCTCATCAGTGGGAGGTTCACATTTCCTTGGACAATTCAGTGAAGGCGTCGGCTATGTGGTGGGCATTGGAGAGCAATGTCCTGAAGGGCGTCTCTCTTCGGAGATCATCCCCTACAGCTACCCTGTATACGGACGCATCTATGACGGGTTGGGGGGCCTACCTCGACGGTCATTGTCGTTCGGGTGTCTGGCAGGGAGATCAACTCCAGGAGCATATCAATGTGCTGGAGATGAGGGCAGTTCTGCTGGCTATTCAGTCTCTGCGTCTGTTGCTTCAGGATCAGTCCATCTGCCTGGCTACAGACAATGCCACAGTAGTAGCTTATCTGGAGAATCAGGGAGGGACAAGGTCTCACAAACTTTGTGCTCTCGCTTGTCAGGTCCTGCTCCTGTGTCGTTCCATGGGGCTTTCCCTAACAGTGAGACATCTTCCAGGTCATCTCAATGTGTTAGCAGACACCCTCTCCAGGTCTCGGAGTCCAATTATCACAGAATGGACTTTGGACAGGTCAGTTTTCAGAGCCATCTGTATGGTGTGGGAGACCCCCCTAGTGGATCTGTTTGCCACAGCTCTGAATTTTCAAATTCAGACGTTTGTGTCGCCTGTCCCAGATCCTATGGCATGGGCAGTAGATGCTCTGTCCCTAAGCTGGGACGGTCTTCTGGCCTATGCTTTTCCTCCCTTCAATCTGTTGGGCAGAGTGCTGCAGAAGGTCAGGGAGCACGACTGCTCAGTTCTTCTGATAGCACCTCTGTGGCCCAGACAGCCCTGGTTTCCTGCTCTGCTGGACTTATTGATAGACCTTCCATTGGCTATCCCTCCCAAATGGAATCTTCTCAGTCAACCCAAATCCAGACAGTTCCATCGGAACCCAGAGCGCCTCCACCTTCACGCGTGGAGGCTATCTCGGTCTCCCTCCTCCAGGCAGGCTTTTCTGAAGAGGTTACAGATTGCATCACCAGATCAATACGATCTTCCTCATCTGCCGTCTACCAATCAAGATGGTCAGCCTTCTGTGATTGGTGTCACAGCAGGAAGATTGATCCACTCTGTTCCTCTATTCAATCGATAGCTGAGTTTTTCCTTTATCTTTTTAAGGTTAAGAAATTAACTCCAGGCACTATACGTGGCTATCGTTCTGCCATTGCCAATGTTTTTTCCTACCGAGGGCGTTCAGATATTGGAAATTGTTCCTCCTTGTCCAATCTTCTCAGATCCTTCTCTTTGGAGAAGCCTCGGGTTAGACTGCTGATGCCACAGTGGGATTTGGCTTTGGTCTTAGATTCTCTTACTAAGCCTCCTTATGAGCCCTTGGCTTCTGCTCCTTCCAAGTTTCTCTCTTGGAAGACAGTTTTTTTGATAGCGTTGGCTTCTGGGAGACGGAGAAGTGAAATCCATGCTCTATCCTCTTCTTCTTCTTGTCTCAGGTGGTCTCGGGACTATTCCTCGGTTACCCTTCTTACTGATCCTTCTTTTTTGGCAAAGAATCAGGTTCCTAATTTTTCACCAGAGCCTATCAAGATTCCTGCCTTAAAGGAGGTCTCTGGTGCTGAGAATCAGAATTCGTTACTCTGTCCTTGTAGGGCTTTGAGGTTTTATCTCGATAAAACCAAGGGGGGGCGGCGGGAGTCTAGATCCCGTCTGTTCTTGCCCATTAAATCAAGGCAGACTGATATCTCTGCTCAGACTATTTCCAGGTGGATTTGTGACACCATCAGGACTGCTTATGAGGGGTCTAGTGCTGACACTTCTGACAGGGTTAGAGTGAGGGCACATGAGGTTAGAGCTCTTTCAGCATCTTGGGCCCTTTTCAATGGTGCCTCATTCGAGGATATCATGGCGTCAGCCTTCTGGCGAGGCCGTAACACCTTTGCGGATTTTTATCTTCGGTCGCTTTCCGCCCATGCAGATGGGTTGTACTCTCTGGGTCCTCTTGTCACTGCTCAGACAGTCTCATGTCCCCCAGTCAATTCTTAGGAAGGCTACCTTGCGGCTCAGAAGGATTTTTAGAGTTTTAATTGTTAATATCCTTTACCCTTATGGGTTTTTAATGCTGTTTTTTGCTACGATTAGTGATTGTCTGCGAAGACTCCTCTACGGTAAGACAAATTCGCTATTGTCTATATGGTGGTGAGGTATTATTGAAATAAACTTGAGGTTTTTGTAGTAAAACCAATGTTTATGATATAATACTCACCACCATATATTGGAGGTCCCTCCCTCCTCCCCTTGTCTTCTCATCCAATTTGTTTGGGTGCGGAAGTGAGGTTTTGGGTCATGCGCGGTGCGTTCGTACCAAGCATTAAGGGTCCTCTCACGGGATATTTATTTTCTTTGTTATGTAAATTATGGGCTGCCGGTGGAAATACGCTATTGTCTATATGGTGGTGAGTATTATATCATAAACATTGGTTTTACTACAAAAACCTCAAGTTTGAAGTTCTTTGGGGAAAATGGATACGGTATGGTCAGAGCTGCGTCAAATACAGATAGGAGCACGAACAATATACTGACCATACCCTTAGATTTCATCTGTAAAATCATGGAAAAAACCTCGGCATCAGGATAGGATTCGGAAAAAAACCCAGAAAATCTCAAAAAATGACACTTTCAAACACGTAGATAGCAGTTTTGAAATGTGATTATTTAGAATGTTTTACGAAATAAAATGAACCAAGAAGATTTATTTCTTTATTCTGATAGATGATTCTTTTTTATAAACACAACTTGTTACATGAGGATTACGAGGATATACATAAACATTTGCTGAAACGCACGGAAAGATGCTTCATATAGTCTTATTTTGAAAGGTTGCGTTTCACCTAAGTCTCACCTATGAAAAACAAGAAAATTCAGTACAGAAGTAAGCAATGTGATTATATAATGATATAATTAAAAAAAAACAAAATCACTCCGAAGTTTTTAGTTTGTCTACCAAAGGCATGTTTATCTTTTCATTACTCATATTTCCAACAAATTTATGTACATTGTTTGTTTCAGATAGCAGATTAAGGTTATTTTCGCGTCTTACCAATTTTGTTTTGATAACTTTAAAATTTACACACTTTAGAAATAATTTCTTTACGTTAAGTGTGTTCTTAAAACAGTTTTTGTCGTTTGATGACAGGGTCATCGCGATTGATACCAAAAACTAGTTATAGTAAAAACAATTCTTAAAATTTAAGTCTAATTAACACACTTTGATGAAATCAAATGGTAAAATTTGAAAAAATACCAAAGCAGAATGCCGTTAATAAAACAGTTTACAAACAGTAGAATGAGCAGAACTTTACGCAAATGATGCGTAAAGAGGACAAACTTCTTGTGATGGAACAGCATCAACGACTACGACAACAAGAACGACGACGAAAACAACGACGACGACAACAACAGTATTTCTATCTAAGTATAATATCACTTATATTTTGCATAAGATGTTCATTAACAAGCTTAATACTGCTCACCTTGATTACCGGGAGTTCCCGACTACAGAGGATGCAATTCCTTAACTTTCAGCTTATTACTACGTGCCAGTAAAACTCCCGAATATTTGTGGACCATAGAAAATAGGCTTTACCATAAAGTCATTTGTATTTAGTATGGGATGGACTAATAATCTATTTTCTATAGCCAGTGGGTATGACTGTCGTGATGTTGATGAAAATAATGTTTATATGTTCAGTGACTTACACCTCATCCTAGGTCAGAGTTTGTTAATATCATAGTAAAGTAACGCTTAGACAGAAGCCTTGTGTAGTCCTCTTCTTAACAGTTGGAAAAGGTCGTGCGGGCTTTGCCTGTGGTCATAGTAAAGGTGTTAGAGAGAAACAAAGAGAAATATGTTCCAGATATTAATGAGACACACCCTTTACGAAGACGTCTATTTTCACTGGGAGATAGACTGCTGGCTTTAAAGGAAACGTTGTAGTTCAGGCGGTCACCTTAGGTCAAACTAAGTTTACCTGTGCAAATCCTGTTACAGATTCGGGCAGATACATTCAAACATAATACAAGAGGTGTCGTATAATGTTCACTGTTGTGCAGTGTGACGTCAACAGTGTGACGTCAGCTATCCATTTTGTTATTGAAGTATATTTATTTATATACCCCCATAAAACCTTGATTTTTAATTCTTAATTTTCAACGATTTTAAATTTCTAATGCGGGTTCTAGACATCAAAATATCTCTTTCATCATTTGATCCTTTACAAGTCGTTCTCTGTAGTAAGGCCGACACAGATGTATTATGTAGCTCTTCTAATTCCCATCCTAAATTTGAATTGAAATGTAGATTTTTGTCTCTTGAAACTAAAATTTGATTGTAATTTTCAATTCTATAAGTATCTACGTAGATTAATGCAGTCAAGGATATCTCATTCTGTTAGAGCGATGACCCACTGTCCCTTAGGTGAAGATCCGAGGTGCTTAGTTCGATGCTCTCTCCATACTGGGAGACAAACAAATCAAAATATTTGTATTTCTTACACTGTACTATACAAAGTATAGGTTTTTAGGAATGTATTCCAATTTAATTAATTAAAATAACTTCCAGAGTAATTACTAAAGGATGCTGTTGTAGATTTAAATCCGCAACCAAGAAAAAACCCATTATACTGAAGCTAGACAAGTAACCTCGCATATTTTCACAACTGTAAGTTGTGTAAATTTCCCAATGAACGTCCAGCATAAAATTTAAACTTAGTCTCCTTATCCAACGGATGCCGGTCTTACTGAACAACATGCAAGATGACCATTACATGTTACTTAAATGACCCGTGATCTAAAAGTTCCCCAGGTACACAAAGAGACCCGTGTAGGGAGCATCTAGCTACAGACCTCGGATCTTGGTACTACAGACCTCAGATCTTGGTACTACAGACCTCAGATCTACAGACCTTAGATCTTGGTACTACAGACCTCAGATCTTGGTACTACAGACCTCAGATCTACAGACCTCAGATCTTGGTACTACAGACCTCAGATCTTGGTACTACAGACCTCAGATCTTAGTACTACAGACCTCAGATCTACAGACCTCAGATCTACAGACCTCAGATCTTAGTACTACAGACCTCAGATCTTGGTACTACAGACCTCTGATCTACAGACCTCAGATCTACAGACCTCAGATCTTGGTACTACAGACCTCAGATCTACAGACCTCAGATCTACAGACCTCAGATCTTGGTACTACAGACCTCTGATCTACAGACCTCAGATCTACAGACCTCAGATCTTGGTACTACAGACCTCAGATCTTGGTACTACAGACCTCAGATCTTAGTATTACAGACCTCAGATCTACAGACCTCAGATCTTAGTACTACAGACCTCAGATCTACAGACCTCAGATCTACAGACCTCAGATCTTGGTACTACAGACCTCAGATCTACAGACCTCAGATCTACAGACCTCAGATCTTAGTACTACAGACCTCAGATCTACAGACCTCAGATCTTGGTACTACAGACCTCAGATCTACAGACCTCAGATCTTGGTACTACAGACCTCAGATCTACAGACCTCAGATCTACAGACCTCAGATCTTGGTACTACAGACCTCAGATCTACAGACCTCAGATCTACAGACCTCAGATCTTGGTACTACAGACCTCAGATCTTCATCTTAATGATCCGTGATCTTAGGTTCCCCAGGTACACAAAGAGACCCGAGTAGGGAGCGTCAAGTCACAGACCTCGGATCTTCCTCTAAATGATCTAAATCATCTATGACGTCATCTATATAATGTTTTCTGATTGCAATTTTTTTCAAAATGTGGTCAGAAAATCAAAAAGCTGGAGAAATAGTGCAACTTCATTTTGAAGGCCATTCGCCAGCAGCAGTGATTCGTACTATGTAAAAGAAGTACCATTCACATGCAAAACTATCAAAGCAACAAATACACAGATTAGTAAAGAAATTCCAGCAGACAGGATCTGTGGAAGACAAAAGACACAAGAACCAAGGACGTCCACGGACTATCAGGTGTGCAGAGAACATTGAGGTTGTTCAGAAAATGACATCGGAGACCCCAGTAGGTCAGTTAGAAAAGTGCTAGGTGACATTGAAAATACGGGACCTGCTAATTGAGGCTCCAGCTATGAAAGTGTTTATATAATGTTGTAGTTTACGTGAAGCTGTTTCCATACAAAGTGCTGGTGATACATTTGAAGGATACAGATGTTACACAAAGACTACAACGACTCATTGGATGACTAACAACACGGATATCACCGATAGCGTATGGTTTTCAGATGAATCTCACTTTCATTAAAATTCACAACTTAACAACAAGCAGAATTACTGTGTATGGGGAAAAAGAAAAACCAGACTGCTGGAAAGTTGCTGCAAGATGACAAAGTGACAGCCAGGTGTGTACTCGGTCGGTCGGAGTGATTGGACCATTTTTCTTTGAATAAGAAGGTGAAACGGCATCGGTTACCAGTGGACGGTATTTAAACATGTTTAAAAGTGTACAATCCCAGGCCTGAAAGCCTGCAACATCTCAAGACTGCAATTGGAGTTTCGGTTGAAAAGAGGCAATCATCAATTTTAAGAAAAGGCTCAACGTTGTCATTTCGCGGACAGGACGTCACATTGACCATATCGTGTGATTTTTTAAAACATTTCCAATCAGTTATAAATTCTACAAGAGTAAAGATAAAAGTATGTTTTTTTGTAGAAAGAAACTTGTTTGTATCAACGTGAAAGTGATCATTTTCATTACACTCGGTTAAACCGTTTAAAAGTGTAATTTAAAATGATTACAAAATGTATTGATCACCATGTACCAGTTATGCATTGCGGCAATTACTGACCACAACCCGACCTTTTCTCTTGATATAGTGCTAGTGACATAGAGTCATCCTGGTGTAGGAGTTGTGGTAGAAAGTCATTTCAATATTCAATGTGCATGTGCCTTCAGGATTTTAAAATGTCCCATATCAAGGAATAATCTTACCACTGGATTAATCCGTTGTTTTGCCTTTTCTTGTACATTTCCGAGCTTTAATAGTAATATCGCCAGGAAAACAGAATGTTGGATTGAAGCGGCGGATGCTTTTGATAGGTAAACTAGGGATGGAGGTATGGCTATTTACTAATAGTAGTAGTGCTTAATTAATTGATTACCAAATTCATAACAGTATTCTTATGTTAAAAAATTCAAAACAAAATGTCAATATATTTTTTGTACTTTGTAATTTTCCTCCACAGAATAGTGTATTCTATCAAAAAGAAAACAACATCGACCTGTTCTTGATATTGGAGGAACTGCTCTGCCAATATAAAGATAAAGGTGAGGTTTATGTTACTGGCGATTCAAACTCTCGCGCAGGCTGTAAGTTATTGTTGATGATAGTCTTAGTGGTTCGGTGTTGAAAATAATTGACACTTTGAATCACAGTTAAGACAAAGAAATAACCACACGTAGGAACACTGATACGTATGTCAACAGTTTCGGTAGGATAGGCTGGCGATAGAAAGGGGGGTATCACTTTTTGTAGCCACAACAGATCTAGTGTAATTTATTATGTTTTAGAAAAACCCTGTAATTTATTGAAAATATGTGAATTTTCTGTTGGTCATTTTACAACTGTATCTGATCATACTCCTTTGTGTTTGAGCAAAACAAAATATTGAAGCTGTGAAAATGATTAAAACACAAGTGAAGATGCACATGCTATTTGTCAGATGAAAAGATGAAAACAGCGATATGGTTCAAACGAAGCTAATAGAAAACGCAACCGTTTTAGGACGAGCTTCAATATAAACGCAAAAACACAATGTAACGTTGATAAGATGATAGACGACTTTTGTGGTTTGGTGAACATCGTTGTTATGCCTTATTGTGAAGTAAGACAGGTACAGACATGTGGGGTACCTAACCAAAAGAAAATTAATCTCTTCAAAGGAGACAAACCGTGGTTTACAAATGAGTGTAGAAATAGGCATCGATAATACAAACTTGCTCTGTCAGTCTTTTACAGTGATAAATAACCTGCTAATCACAGGGTTCTGACAGAGAGGAAATATCAGAGATATGAATGTGACATGATGGAGTTAGTCCGACGAAATAATCCAAAATAGTTCTGGAGATATTTTGATAAAAGGAAAATTCCTGTTGATGTGTGTTGGTTTGGATGACTTCTTTACCCACTTTCAAACTCTTAATATTGGACAATCTGAAAGTATTGAAAATGGCAAAATGTAAACTGTAATATAGTTTATGAAGAGTTACACAAAATTATAGCAGAGGAAGAAATTGTAGTTGCAACCAGGAAATTAAAGAGAAACAAAAGCTGTGGTGGAGATAAAATTCTGAATGAAATATTTCTAGGCTTTAGAAATGTAGTGTTATCTTATATGACTAAGATATTCAATAATATCTTACAATCTGGGTATTTTCCTGAAGCTTGGGAGTTATTGATGCCCCTAACAACTACAGAGGTATTTATTTGCTAAGCTGTTTAGGTAAATTATTTACTGGAGTTTTAAATCAGAGGCTACTTAAAATGGATATTGAACATATTATAACTGATGTTAATTTGCATTCAAACCTTGGTTTTCTTCTATAGACGCCAAGTTTACATTACAGACACTTATTAACAAAACACTGAAAGTAAAACAAGATTACATTGTTGCTTTAGACTACACAAAAGCGTTTGATATAATTGAAAGAAGTTGTTCGTGATCTGAACTGACAAAACATGAAATGAAAAGGAAAAGGTTGAAGATTAATTACTCGTTAAATAAAGATATAAAACCATGTATCAGATATAATGGTTACTTATCAGAGCAGTGCCCAAACACGATCGGTTTGTTCCTGGGAGAAATTCAGTCACCGAATCTCTAATCAAACTTGTGCAATTATTATGTATAAATAATGTGAAGGAACTAAATAATCTTGGAAAATATATCCATTTTACGTTTGAGAAAAGAAAGGAACACATTGGTTGGTTGCATAAATGAATGAATTGATGGAGGGGTGGATGGGTGGATTGATGGATTGATTGCGTCTCTATCAGTATGTGCATGTTTGTTAAATCTCTCTTGCATCGCATGCTTATGCTGGTTCTTATACACGATCATTTATCTATGTTTGAAAAATCACTCTCCAAAATGTATGTATGTATGTATGTATGTACCGTAAGGCACTTTGAGTAAAATCAAATTACATTGAATTGAAATAGATGTGCCTTCGCAGTTCCGCCATACCTCTTTGATATTTCAAATTTAAAAATAGTGTAGGTTTTGGGAGAATTCGTCTCCCAGTTGTTGTAACTTGTGTCTAATCCCACTTGTTTGAGTGAAAAAGTAAAAAACATTTCGATAAAAATCAACGAAACGATTATTGTACAACAAAAAATCCATAGAGAATCTTGATTTTTATTTCTCGAACAGAGAACAAACATTTTGCATTTCAAACAATAGCAAATGTAATCAAAGAGGTGGATGAATCCTGCCAATGGGCATAACTGCGTCAAATAATTTTGTAATTTCATCTTCATTACATAAATCGATCAAAAAATGTATCCGACCAATATCAGCGGATTTTAGAATCGCAGACCAAATAACATTTTTGTCATAAAAGTTTTTTGAAATGTGATGTAATCAAAACAACACCAATATTATTTCTGGATTTATTTACAAACATTTATTAACACAGTTACATTACACCCGTATGTTTCAATACAGTTCTTGTATACACATCAATGGAAAACTCAAAAGTGAAAAGAATAATGGAACTCTTTCTATTAAAGAATTCAGAACATTTATAATAACAGAATTGGAGGGCAGGAATACATCAATTATGTATCTAAATAGGTTTATCGTGGTGGGATTTTCAGTGGAATTTAAGAACAATCATAGGGACCCTTTTCCTGGTCTATCCCTGGTGACCTTACAATGTGTAATGATTATATTAAAGCTAGAAATACTACGAATGATTGATTTAGAATCGAGAACTCCTCAGACTTTTTGTTATAAATAGTAAAGCAATCACAAATGATATACTCTATCAAAATTTATATTTCCTTTTTCACCAAACTTGAAACAATAATGTGCTCGGACATCAACAGTTGTATACGAAATACTACAAACAGTATCGCGGTAAAAGAAATAAATTGATCGAAGATCACAGAGTCGATGAAGGCATATTCGATTCCTGTAAATATTACAGAAATTTTCAAACGACAATATTTAATATTTCCTGCACTTATTTAAGACGATCAAGACCAAGAAAATCGCGTGCTGGAATGTTGGAAGCGAAATCTATAAACAATCGGTAATAACTTCCCGACATGCACTAGCTTTGCTCACATCCGGCGAATTACAGCACATTAATCATCCGAGACAATTCAATAAAACTTCAACGTTGATTTTCAGCGCCCAAAGTCATTTATCAGGTATGTTTGAGGATCATACTGATAAGAAGAGTTGACATGATAAGTACAGGCGTCGAGGCTCCAAATAACTTGTTTACGCCATTTTCATTTGTTAAAGACCCAGGCGACACTGGTTTGTGTGTACTAATTTCTCTCTGACAAGCTATCCCATCGTCCTCCGCAGTATCAGTGATGTGACGAATGGTTTCAGAATGGATACCAACCCAATATGTCTGTTCGTTATCCACAACTGTTGCGCTGTAAATCATAAGGTAATTCAAATTATAGGACCAGGGGTAAAAACGAAATGAAATTTCATACTCTTCTGAGTTAGGACAAGCATGGCCATATTAGAATTACTTACACTAAGCCCTTAGCATTACCGATGAATCCTAGAAGGATGAAACAGTTGTATGATACAGTTTAATTCCTTATTTGGCTCCGCTCTTTTACATAATTCTATTTTTCTATTGAAAGGAACAACTGTTTCCGTATTTTGTACAATCTTTGTGATTACGTGTTGTAGACACTGCTGATGGATTTTTTAGTACCCAAGGTTTGCCGTAACCTGCATGCCACGATTTTAATTCCTTCAAACAGTAGCGCAGATTCAGAATATACACATGTACTCAAGGTTCTTTCGAAATTATCAGTTAAATAAGAACTACCAAATTTATTGAAATATGAAGCATACGTATCCTTCCATCCAAGCATTATGAATCTATGATTTTTGTTTAAAATTATCATTACAAATATAATGTGGATGATATATGTCATGATTGCAATTCATCTGTATCACTTACTAAAATCGGATCTTTCTCTGTTCAGGTGCTTCAACTTTCCACGTGGCTTCCATGCTATTCTCGATCCCCCAGTTCAGATTGATTATTGCGCTCTTTGGGAAATAAAAAGGTGTGATAAAAATGAAACATGTTTATCCAGATCGAAAGCAAGGTTACCGATAAGGCTTTTTAGTTTTGACATTCCGCGGTCGTGTATAGAGGATATTTCAAAGTTTCTTGTTCAATATACATTTCACAAGTATGATAGAAGATCAGAAATGTTTCTATCCAATCAATCAATTTCTTTTGTTCATATTTTGACCTCTTTTTACTGAATTTGAGTTTGGATTATCATTATTTTCACATTTTGGTATTTTCTTGGGGTTTTTTTTTCACTATAAAAATACATAATAACAAGGGCATACTTTGTTCTTTTCTTTGCATTTCTGCAGATATCATTATTAGAAATTCATTTGTAAGAGTTTGGAAAAAAGTCAACTTGGTTTTGGTTATAACAGCAAAGGTAAAAGAGGTAAACCTGTCAAGGCTTTATCTTCAATTATGTAAATAATATGCATTGCAATGCGGCTATAGAATACAGTGTCTTAAAAGTGCACGTAGTGAAATCTAATAATCTAAAAGCATTCGAAATCTGACCTCCGTACTTACATTGGTTTTCTTGAAGCAGTTAATAGGCTTCATTGTTCTGGTTCCTTCTACATTAGTGAAACTCCCAATAGGCGTGGAACTTACAGACTTTCCCGGTAGTGGACATTCGGCACTTCTTGCCTGTATCATGACACCTCGTATTTTGCGTTTTCCTGTTGCTTTTATAGAGACTGAAGAAAAGATAATTTATTAAAAACCATTTTCACGTATAGTGAGACAAATGTTACAATGTATGCATGACTCTTTTCCATATCTCAACATGAACGGGGAAAAATCGGGATACGAACATTGATACGAAAATAGATAGCCACGTCATGAATGAAAGAGACACAGAAATGGCTTAACTAAATGCAACGATTAAAACAATGATGTAGACAGAAATAGTCGATTAAACAACATTTGAGACTTATCGAGGATCAAATTTAATCATGTAAAGCAATTCCCAAGTCAAGTCATACATAGCCACATGATTACCAGAAACTGAATATTGAATTAAAAGCGCTGTAATATATGAAAAGTTAAATTTTTTTTCACGACAAATATTGCGAAATTCCGAACTAAATATAATTTATAGTAATATAGTAACGTCGACGCTTTGATGACCGTTTTCGTGCTCTACTGGAATTGTACAAGGCGATAATGTCACCAAAGTTCATCTTACAATTACCTATTAGTTCCATTCCAACCCCGTGCATGTTCATGCTGACGGTGATGTTATAGGGAGCTGGCCCTCTCTGGGGTAATGACGTCAATTGTGATGGTATCATCTTCGTGCAATCTGTGTCTGTTTCACCAAACGGGAACCCATCGGTCAAGGCGAGCAATGCCAACGAAATGACCACAGGGATTAAGGATGCTGGGTCAAAGGTCATGATCTAAAATAGATATTGCAGGCGTTTCAAATTATTTCGTTACAGCCTGGACAGGTATTTCCCAAACGAGATCTAGGAGGAAGAAAAAGCTGTATGATGCAGTCTAATTTATGATTGAGCACAATTGTATCTAATCCTAAATTTGTATTGAAAGTTGTTATTTACTTGTGTGTGTTTTGTACAATCTTAGAAATACATGTTGGAGACACGGACGAGCTCCTAATCCCTGATGATTGTCGTAATCGGAAGCCTCGTTCTAATTCAGTCGAACATTGGAACGGTTGGGAATAAATCATGTACTTATATTCTTTTAAATTTATTTGATTTTGAGACTAGTCCACCATCCAATCTAGATTTGACAGTTAGACCCTTCAATCTTAAGACTCGTCAGTGATTCAAGGGATCTAGTTTCCCATATCTTGAAAGCGATAAAGCTTCAGTAGCCTACATATATCACATAAAAGTATGAAAAAATCGCAGTTGGAAAGACGATATGGAATTGAACAGAAATCTTTAAGATTGTACCTGTATCTCTGGTCAAGCTAACACGCCCAACTTTTTTGTCTTATTAAATCCTTTGATATACATCACCGTCAAGTAGTCGCAATAGTAACATGATGGTTGTTTAGAGGTCCGTCTGAATAGGTTTTGGTTATTGTACAATACATAGGAATGAATAACGGATGATAGTTTTACTTTTTGTTGATTGTAAAAATAAACCCGAATATTTTATTTAATTGCATGGAACTGTGAACATGTAAGGTCCTGAGTTTTTGATAAGTAGGAATGTTATTATTTCTATTACGAATCACTTATCACATATCGGGTTAAAAAAAAATAATTATCATTACATACTATTGAAAGTTGTTTTTAGTTTTAGGTTGGTGAAAAATTCTATGAATGTATTTAAAATTAAGACCCTGACTTACGACATCACTGACGAGTCCTAGAAGGACGAAACAGCTGTATGATGTAGCATCACTGACGAGTCCTAAAAGGACGAAACAGTTGTATGATGTAGCATCACTTACGAGTCCTAGAGAGACAAAACAGCTGTATGATACGTTTAATAAGTCGTTGTTCGGCTCAGCGATATCTAATTCTAAATTGCTTTCGTACAATATTTACATTCATGTAGATCAGGTTCTGTCAATAAAGTATCAATGTCTACATTAAATATGTATGTTTTTGTTACATTTTCCCATATATTACCATGAAAAATAATAAAGAAATTAACATATGAAATAGATTTTAAGAAAGCAAGCCAGCCAGATTCAGAAGTCTACCGTTGTATGCCTTAGGGAACACAGTCAGACGTTTCTATTAAAGGTGACTTGTCATGGCGAGATTCTCTGCTAACGAAAACAGTAGGTCATACTTGCCTCCGGGTCCGTCAGCTACTAACATGGCGATGTTTGGACATGGAAACATGAAAGCGATTATTTGTTGATGTGTTGTTGTCTCTTGTTTACGTGGTCGAAGGAAAAACTCAAAAAACATTTATGATTTATTAGAATATAGATCTCACCAATGTTTACATGTCTTTGTCGCATTTTTTAATGAATTAGAATACTATTACTGTTTTAACCTCGCCCTATTCTTTCTTGCTGAAACAAACGTGATACTATTGAATGTATATTAAATTCATATGATAGGCATGCTTTTTTGTTTTGCTTTGTTTTTCTCTTAAATTCCATCTTTAATGATACGTATTAGTAAAGCTTAGCTTTACTAAACATGCAAGTTAAGATAAATTCGATTTGAAATTGCAAAAGTATAATGCTGTAGTTTTTTTTTATATCATTGATAAAAATATGTCTCGTAGTATATGGAATTTTTATACAAATGAAACAAAACTTCAGTCTTTCACAAAAAAAACCCAGGCCCAACAATGTTGTCAGGAATGTATTGCCTTTTTGGTGGTAGATTGTCCAGGTAAGATGCCTGTATTGACACAAAGTGAAATTCGAGAATCAAAAGTGCCATCGAAATCAACGACTATAGATACCCCACAAAAACGAGTTAACAGTAAATTAGAATTTGTGTGGATTACACAAATGAAAACACTCGTAATTAACACTATTATTTGCGATCATTTTCAATGTCATCACAAACTTATTTTCAGTCGTATAACTTTTTTTACTGTTCATGTGCGTGTTTTATGTACGATCTTGGATTTACCAAGATCTATATATGTATAACGGGTGTCGTCGATAATTCGCTTATCGTTCCGGAACACCTGGGTTATTCTGATAGTTCGGCTTCACATCCTCGATTTCTGCTTGATGTTTTCGGAACTTATAATTTCCACTACTTTGACAATATTCCAACGTAAAAAACTCAATATATAAGACATTCAATAACACTAAACCATGAAATGATTTCATAATTGAATACTTACGTAAGCTACCATTTAGTTTTAAGCATATAGGGGGTGTTTCCTTTGCTTATGTCTAATGAATCTCTAAAATACGAAACTAAAGGCAATGAATTTCATGTTTGCCAAAACAAAATACTACTTTACACTAAAAATGACAAATAAGGCTTTTGTGAAACGTGAATCATACCTAGCGCGAGCTGGTAGGTCTAAATATGCCCAAGGGACCTCTGGATCTTGACCTCATCCCCAACACATTTAATACTTGTGACGATTCTGTGTAGGCGTGATCGTTAGTTTGCCAAATGCCTACAGTGATTAAGTGTCATACTTCCTTTTTCTAGAATTAACTCAATAAATTTCCCTGTTTATGAAATTCTAAAATCTGAATTCAGTATTTTGTCAATTTCATTGATGCGGAATAGTTCAACTTGCGCTTGTTGTTCTGCAGTTCGACTTTTTTTCAAATTTTCTGATTATTTTCACTTAATTACTCTTTCCGTTTCAAACAATAGAAAAGATAAATGTGTGTAACTATCTGCATCAATTTTTTGATAAAGAATGATTCAGTTTCAATAATTAAAAGACAAGATTAATACAGTCCTCATCGCTAGAGACAGAAGTAAAGATAATACATACTAACATATACATATTGAAAATTATAGATGTTATCTTTTCACAGGTCAACATGGTGCGGAACAAAAACAACAAAAATTTATTATGAATGGTTTGCTATTTTAAAAATTTTCTGTTGAGTTATGAGGGAAAAAAGTTATTATCTTTTCACAAATGCGACAATTACACGTTTTATTCCATTTATAAACACACTATTTTTGCAAGTAATACACGTGTACATTGTATATGTTTGAACATGGACTTTATCAAAAATTACAATAAAATCTTCTGCATACAAAATCAAAAATCGTTTTGTTTTTCAAAAAAAAAAAAAAACATTTTTTGTATAAAAATTTTAAAAATCGAGCAACTCACGAAAGGAATATATTTTTATATAGGTTTTATCGGATCAATAACTTTTTAAAATAATATTCAATTCATGAAATAAAGAAAAAGTTGATGTACAAAGCATTGTCTAAAACCTGCCACTTACCGTAAATGCGTGTGAGCTTGTTGTAGGATCAAAAGTAACATTATGTGACCCAGAAGGTTCCTTCAATATATAAGAGCGTGCCAACCACATAGACCACTGTGATAATTTATCACTGGCGCGCATTGTAGGGTGCAGTGGTTACTCATAGATCAACCTACATGTTGACCTCTGTCATTGGCATTCTCCTCCCCCACTGACCAGACGTCTTATTGGACTTACGGGAGGTCTGACTGGACATACGAGGGTTCAGTTCATTCATTATTTAACAGACTTCAGGAAGAAAAATGAAGTAATTTTCTGGACATGTTTTCTGTGACAAATAAAATCCTCTGTAGAGATTTTGTAGGAAAAATCTGAATTTGTCAAAATAACACACATATCGAGTTAAACAAGGAGGACGTAAAGGGGTAGCAAACCTTGGTGAAAATGACAGAAAACACATACATACTCCAACGCTGATAGATCTCGCTATCAGTACACTTGTTTGGGTCTTACAGGAACCAGTCAGGCACCAAATAAGAATAATACAAAGACATATTTGCATTCGTCATACGACACTTAGTTATAAATTTTATTTTCATTCAGTTGGTATACAATTTTTGGATTATGATTACTCAACGCTCAAGGACAATAATGAGCCTGCAAAAGTTCAATCTGAACAAGAATTGTCTCATGAAAATCGTTGCTAAATATGATTAAGATAGAGAATTACATTACAAATGGTTGGCTCTTTGACAGATTGGATTTGAGATAGAAATATGCGTCGTTGCTAGACAGGAGGACGCTTACCTGTCCATTTAACCTGGTTTTTTCGCCTGTAACTTGTTCATTGCTTGAGTGTTTAATTCAGTATGGGCCTAAGTCTTGTGTATATTTTGATGTCGAGTGAAGCTTTGTGTTAATATATGGTTATTTTTTGTGTATTGCCAACAGTTTGATTTTTCTCAATCATAATATATATATATATATGAATTAATTTATCAAGGATACATTGTTCACTGTTCAATTTTTATCGATGTTAGTCCGCTAACTCTCACAAGATCTTGGTTCGATATTATAATCACTTTGCTATGAAACTTTACCAGTACGGTGTCATATTGATAATAAATATTGCTGACAATGAAGTCGATGACTGTAAACTGCAAATGTAACGCCTTTTGACGTACATCAAAAGATCAAAAGATCAAACTAGTCTTCTTGTTACACATGGAGCCTTCAATTTTGCAATAAATGTTTTAAAGGGTTGCAGAGAGCGCAAGTGATAGTAACGCCAAGGACAAATAACCACCAGGCATCAAATACTTCCCTTTTACACACTGTCCCCGATGTCCCATATTGGACTAGAATGAAATCAAAATGATGATTCCATAACCTTTTATATAATGTTAACAAAGTGTAGTTGTCAATGGTCATATACAATCCTAACACGCTCTAAAACCATCAATTTCCCTGCCCCCCCTCCCCTGTTGGATACGTGGTTACGTCATATAAAAATCATATAATCATATAAAAATT